ATAGGAAACTCAGATACATGTGTGGATACATAGACAACACCATGTCCCTAGTAAGCCTCTAGTTCACTAGCTCGTTGATCAATAGATGGTTACAGTTTCCTGACCATGGACATTGGATGTCGTTGATAACGGGATCACATCATTAGGAGAATGATGTGATGGACAAGACCCAATCCTAAGCCTAGCACAAGATCGTGTAGTTCGTATGCTAAAGCTTTTCTAATGTCAAGTATCATTTCCTTAGACCATGAGATTGTGCAACTCCCGGATACCGTAGGAATGCTTTGGGTGTACCAAACGTCACAACGTAACTGGGTGGCTATAAAGGTGCACTGTGGGTATCTCCGAAAGTGTCTGTTGGGTTGGCACGAATCGAGACTGGGATTTGTTACTCCGTGTAACGGAGAGGTATCTCTAGGCCCACTCAGTAGGACATCATCATAATGTGCACAATGTGACCAAGGAGTTGATCACGGGATGATGTGTTACGGAACGAGTAAAGAGACTTGCCGGTAACGAGATTGAATGAGGTATCGGGATACCGACGATCGAATCTCGGGCAAGTAGCGTACCGATAGACAAAGGGAATTGAATACGGGATTGATTGAATCCTCGACATCGTGGTTCATCCGATGAGATCATCGTGGAACATGTGGGATCCAACATAGGTATCCAGATCCCGCTGTTGGTTATTGACCGGAGAGTCGTCTCGGTCATGTCTGCGTGTCTCCCGAACCCGTAAGGTCTACACACTTAAGGTTCGGTGACGCTAGGGTTGTAGAGATATTAGTATGCGGTAACCCGAAAGTTGTTCGGAGTCCCGGATGAGATCTCGGACGTCACGAGGAGTTCCGGAATGGTCCTGAGGTAAAGATTTATATATAGGAAGTCCAGTTTCGGCCACCGGGAGAGTTTCAGGAGTCATTGGTATTGTACCGGGACCAACGAAAGGGTCCCAGGGGTCCACCGGGTGGGACCACCTATCCCGGAGGGCCCCATGGGCTGAAGGGGCGTGGGAACCAGCCCCTGGTGGGCTGGTGCGCCCCCCCCTTGGGCCTCCCATGCGCCTAGGGTTGGAAACCCTAAGGGGTGGGGGCGCCTCCACTTGGCTTGGAGGCCAAGCCACCCCTAGGGCTGCCGCCCCCCTCCCTAGATTGGATCTACAAGGGGCCGGCGCCCCCCTAGGCCCCCATATATAGTGGAGGGGAGGGAGGGCAGCCGCACCTGAAGCTCTGGCGCCTCCCTCCCTCCCGTGACACCTCTTCCTCCCCGCTTGCGCTTGGCGAAGCCCTGCCGGGATCCCGCTACTTTCACCACCACGTCGTCGTGCTGCTGGATCTCCAACAACTTCTCCTCCCCCCTTGCTGGATCAAGAAGGAGGAGACGTCTCTCCCAACCGTACGTGTGTTGAACGCGGAGGTGCCGTCCGTTCGGCGCTCGGTCATCGGTGATTTGGATCACGACGAGTACGACTCCATCAACCCCGTTCTCTTGAACGCTTCCGCTCGCGATCTACAAGGGTATGTAGATGCACTCCCCTCTCTCTCGTTGCTAGATGACTCCATAGATTGATCTTGATGATGTGTAGAAAATTTTAAATTTCTGCTACGTTCCCCAATACATACTGCTCACGATTCCTATACTGATCACGCCGTTCTCCGCGTCCCTCACGCCTCGGGGCAATCTTGGGCTGTGGGCCGACTGGACTGTATCTGCAGCGACGGATCTGCTGTGGATCCTATTCCGCGACTGTGATACAGCTGAATTTTGATCTCCTGCCGCCCGGAGTAATGCTCTGATCTGTAACAAGCCTCTGCCAGCCTCTGACTGGGAAGGCTGAATCGACTCTTCTATACGGGCTGCAGCTGCTAAATTCTGAATCGGAGTTCGATATACCTGAGTCAGTGGTGGAAAGAGCTGACGTCGACTGGATTCTGGAACCCGTTGTCGCGCACGCTCGTCGAGTGCTCGCTGGAGGTTCTCCAATCAAGTGCGCTCAGCCCAGTTGGCCAAGCGCGCGTCCTCTAAGGCACGGGCCTCAGGGGTTTCTCCAACGAAAGGAGTGTGCAGCGCATCCATGTTCCGGCGGCGAAGTTCTTCCCTCTGAAGCGAAGTGAGGGGCTCGGGGAGATACTCTTCATGGGCATGCGACAGATCGCCTCCGCCATCGCCCCCGTCGGCGAGGGGAAAGCCGGGAGGACTGCGTGGTCCATCGACCATCAAAACCTCCACCACTGGATCACTGCTGTCGCACTCGGATGCAGTCTCTGCGGAGCCAGTCGACAGGTCGAATAGGCTGTAGAGAGATTCGTCGGGCTCGATCGCCGGGACTTGGGGGGTGGCTGACTGGCGAGCCACCGCGTGCCTCACCCACTGCTGAAGCCTCGACCGGCCGGAGCGCTTGCACCAGCGGGAAACAGGGAGGGAGGACGACACAGGGACCGAACGATACTGGGTCGACGGTTGCCGCAGGAGGACGCCACGGATGCACGCGCGAAAGTGTGTTGCCCTGCGGACAGGGAGCGCGTCGACGTCGAGCGGAGCCTCCTGAAGCCAAGCGAAGTCGTCGGCGATGAACATGAGCGCGCCGAGACGGATCTCGCGGCCCTCAACCAAAACTCCGCCCGAAACCATGATGAAGGGGATCGGAAAAATCGCAACTTCTCCAACAAGTCGCTAAGACACCGGCCCCACGGTGGGCGCCAACTGTCGTGGTTCTAAGTCTGACAGTAGTATAGGAGGGTAGGAATGGAGAGGCAAGATCCTAGCTATGGAGTAGTTGTATACACACGAGGTTTACGAGTTCAGGCCCTTCTCAGAGGAAGTAATAGCCCTACGTCTCGGAGCCCGGAGGCGGTCGACTGGATTATGTGTGTATGAATTACAGGGGTGCGAACCCTTTACACTGAGGAGGGGGTGGCTTATATAGAGTTCGCCAGACTCCTCCGGCCCTCAGTTATGCAGGGTTTAAGGTACATTAAGGTTGGGCGTTACTGGTAACGCCACAAATAAAGTGCTATGATGACCATAAAAGCTACTTAATGACCGACCGTTAGCGTGCGGAGTGACTTTAGACCTCCTTGCCGTCGAGTGGTTGGCTTCATGGTCGAGTGGTAGTCTTCATGGTCGAGTGTCTTCGAGGCCGTCAAGTGGAACACCTCTAAGTCGATTGAAAGATGATTTCTTCTAGGGATGTCCTTGGGGAGGGTATCTTGGACAGGTCCATGACCCTACCCTAGGTACATAGCTTCATCACCCTGCCCGTTAGTGTCTCGACCAGATGGATCTGCATCTTCTCGTGGAGCTGATGAAGGTGGAGACAAAGAGCCTATTCGGAAATGGTCCGGCTCCTCTGAATCGTCAACAGAGTTTGCTGCCAATGGGAGCCTCAGAGACATTGTCCACATGAACAAAAGGCAAAAACTCTCAGCAGAGTTACGATTGGACATTGCAATTGGGTCTGCCAAAGGATTGAGCTATATGCACTCTCAGGACATACGACATGGTGATGTGAAACCAGACAACATACTTCTCAGTGAAAGGTTAATACCAAAGATATCAGACTTTGGGCTGTCTAAACTGCTTAAACTACAAGAAAAAATTGCTAAGAAGGTGGTTGGGTGCGAGGGATACATGGACCCGGTGTTCAGGAACACGGGTGTATTAACACCAAAGAGTCATGTCTACAGCTTTGGAGTTGTTCTCCTAGAACTCATATCTAGGTAACAAATAGTATATGGTCAAAGCGGTAGCCTCATCATGGAGTTCCGCCATATCTATGAGACAGAAAAGAGTGGGAGCTCAATGTTCGATGAGGAGATTGTAACAGAAGAAGATATCTTGATCCTGGAAGAAATTGGTAAGCTAGCAATGATGTGTCTAAAAGAACATCAAGATGGCCGGCCTGATATGACAGAAGTAGCAGAACAGCTTGTCAAGCTTAAAGAGATACTATCGGATCATGCTACTGACAAGGCGACAACACTAAGGTGAGCAGAGAGCTATTGATGCCATATTCATGACACCCAATGCTCCAATCTCAGATTTGTAAGCCAATCCATGGTCAACCCAAATGCTCCAGGAGGTCGTATTAAGGCGAATTTTATTGCATTGTACCTTGCATTGAAGCCGTCGGTATACAACCTAGTGTTTGGTTGATTCTCTGTGTGTAAGTGTCCACTATACGTGCAGTGTGCCATTCTCTGTGGATGGAGAAAGTATATGCCTATTGCAAGTACTATTTTCTTTTGTTGTATCTTTGAAACAAGTATATGTTGGTGTTTTTGGACTCTTGAGGTGTGCTAAATAAAATATGCCTGCTTGAAGAGGTAATGCTTGTATGGTCAATCATTATTAATTAGCAGAGACGTACTAGTGGGAAAAAAAATACTAGACTAATAAAAAATTATCATGTGTAATAACATAGGCTTAAAGCAAATGCAAAATTTTCAGTGAAACGAAAACTTTCCATGACCTCATAGGAGGAAAAATAAGTACGAAAAACGGCACGGTTAGACAGGGAGCACACATACAAGCAATATTCTGATGATAACAGCAGCACAGTTCATGCATGCATAGGTATCTGTCACTCTGCGCCTAAACGAATTAGGAAATCAGAAATGTTGGTGAAGCGTATAACCCTTGTCAGGTTGCATGGCATTTAATTATATCCAAACAAGATAACATTATGGTTACAAGATTGGTCTTCAGGCTGAACATATACAGGTCACGCTTAAAACTGGAGGTAACAACAAACAGATACGGGAGAGAGATTACAAGATGTTCAGCCATCTAATCTGACCCAAGCAATATTGTATAGCACACACCACAGGAGATAAGGTGCAGCAGGGGCTTAATACATGAAGCACAGCACAAAAAGTATACTAGTAGATAAAAAGCCTATACTTACAGTACTTCTTCAGAAGCAACGACTGCTGCAGAGGAATAAGCTCTCTTGCAGGACAGCATGCTTGCACCAGGGAACAGTCTCCCAGATCAGATCAAGTCCTCAAAGCTCTTGCAGATTTAACAAACCATTTGCCGATTCGACCCCATCTCATCAGAATGGCAGCTGCAAATCCAACACCGAAGCCCAGCCCGACGAAGAGAAACAGGATGACGTCCACATCAGATGACTTCTCCACGCGTGCCATGCCTGGAGGAGCAAGTGAAACGCCACAGGGGTTGGAGAATGGCAGTCCACACAGTCCCAAATTCCCTTCGAATGAACTTTTGTCAAATGTGAGGAACTGGCGTGACTGCGGTATCTTCCCCACCAACTGGTTGTCAGAAAAATTTAGGATGGCCAAGAAGGTGAGATCTGCTAGTTCTTGCGGAATCTCCCCTGAGAGTTGGTTGCAAGAAAGGTCCAGCGACTCCAGATCAGTCAGGTGGCCAAGCTGCGCTGGAATTTTCCCCTTGAAAGCATTGTGAGACATGTTCAGCACATGTAGTGAAATAAGTTGTCCAACTGATTCAGGAATAGTACCTTCCAGCCTATTGTTTGAGAAGTCAATTGCTGTAAAGGTAGTCAAGATCCTTTCAAATGTCACAACTGACCCCTTGTATGTTATCTCAATAGAATCTTGATAGAATCCCCTAGGAGCTGCTGATATGTTTTGACCAACAATAGTTTCTCCGGAACTGTTTAAGTTGGCCATCAATGATTTTAACCGCCCAAACCATTCGGAACTCAAATTGCCGGAGAAATTGTTTGAGGCTAGATCAATAATCTGCAAGCTAGAGAAGTACTCCTTGGATTGCTGATCCCGAACAAGATCACCAATGGAACCGTAGAACTGATTAGATCTCAAGACGAGGACATGAAGATTCGGAAGCCCGCTCAGCCAAAATGGGAAAGTGTCAACTATTAGATTGTTTCCAACGTCAAGAACCTCCAAGTAAATGCAGTTAGAAAGCGCCCTCTGAAGTTGGCCTTCAATCTTATTGCCATGTAAATCCAGTGTCTTAAAAGTACATGCAGCTGTGATATTGGATGGCAACGTCCCTTCAAACTGATTCTCCCGCAAGTTTAACACGCTCAGTCGAGCATTTTCTATCAAACAGGATGGAATCGGCCCACTAAAGTTGTTATATGATAGGTCAAGGACACCCAACATGCTGAAATTGCAAACTGAATTTGGTATATGCCCATTTATACTATTGTTGGACATCCTGAGATACAAGGTTTCACTGAGATACAGAGTGAAGTTTGGAAGGAGAGCAGAAAAATAATTATGTGAATAATCCAAATAATTTGCGGATGAGTTTGGCGTAGGAATATGTCCCTGAAGCTTATTGGAACTAAGATCAAGAACTTCCAAGGGACAACTGAAAGGAAGAACATGTGAAGTAAGTTCCATACCAGTGAACATGTTGTGTGAAAGATTTAAATGTAAAAGGCTACTGCTCCACCTCTCCCATATCAACTTTGGTATAACCCCTGTGATTTTGTTGCAAGAAAGGTCCAGGTAAGACATGTCATGAAGACGTGTCAAAATTCTAGGAATTTTGCTTATATTGCAACAGGCAACTCCTAAGGTTTTAAGTCCAGAGAGATAGGTGGAAAAAGAGGTGGTTCCTTCTTCATTCGTAACGGAGAGCTTATTGTGTGAAAGATCCAAAGAAGAGAGCTTTCTTAACCTCCAGAAAGATGAAAGATCCAGTGAACCTACAAAGTTGTTCTCATTGATTTCGAGATGAACCAAATCTGTAAGTTGAAAGAACGAGTTGGGAAACTGCCCAGCCAATTCATTTCCTCTCAAAATTACTAACTGTAAGCATGAAGATGCCGCGTCAAACTCTTCTATAGGACCAGAAAATTGGTTCCAAAAGAGATTCAAGTAGCGTAATTTTGGAAGAGCGAAAAGAGATGTCGGAATATGACCTGCAGAAGAGTGAAGGTTATTATTCTCCCTTGTAAAGTTCGAACATGGGGTATACACAACTGAGAGCTCCTGAATACAATAATAAGAAAAATGGCAAGCTTCTGTTTATCACTGAAACCATATCATTCAAATTTAAAATTGGTCTGGCCATCTGCCATTCTACCATCTTGACTATCCATCCACCAAATCCGATGGTCAATTACTCATTAAAAACATGTGTTGGGCCATGAGGTATCCTGGTTTTGAGGCATAAACTTACAAAAACTGTTCCCCTCGTTACCACTATGACACACTGCCCACTACTTCCACCCAAATATATAGTTGTTTTTTAGTCATTCATTTCCTTGTGTATCCTTATGTTGTTTCAGCATTTGGTGGCTTGTTGAGAATGTCAAAGAAAATAAAGTGATAATTTGAATATGCATAATATAATCTTACCGCTCACATGATTATAGGAGAGATCCAGTTCTGCCAGTCGAGTTAAATTGAGAAGTGAACTTGGTATCCTCCCAGAAATGCTCCCCCCTTGAATAATTAGATGTGTCAATTCCTTGAGTTGACCAATTGCATAAGGTATTGACCCAGAAAGCTGACTACTCAAAATAACCATGATTTTCAAGTTAGTCAGATTGCCAATTGTAGATGGTATGGAACCAGAAAATTCAGGACTGGAGATCTTCAACCTTCTCAAGTTTCTGAGATAGCCAATTGCAGCTGGTATGGAACCAGAAAAGTCAGGACCGGAGATCTCCAACCTTTTCAAGTTTCTGAGATAGCCAATTGCAGCTGGCATTGTTCCGCAAGCATCACAATTCACAATATGCAAGCTTCTTAAATTTGTGAGGTTGCGTATTGAAGATGCCATTGAACCATGTAATTTGCAGTCAGATATTTCCAAGTTTTCCAAGTCAATGAGACTGCCAATTTCAGACAGTATGGGCCTAGGGAGGTTGGAATCAAACATCTTCAAGCTTCTCAACGCCTTGAGGTTGACAATGGAGGAAGGCGTTGTCCAAGAGAAGTCACACCTATAGATATCCAAGCTGGCCAAGTTCCTGAGGTCTCCAATCCATGACAAAATCGATCCGAAATCTTTTGATGAGTCCATCAAATCAACTTTCAACTGGCATAAAGACTCAAGTACACCAAATGAAGAGAGAAAATCCATCGATAGAAATTTCCTGTCAAGAGTTAACTCCCTCAACAGCTTGAAATTGCCAGAAGAACTTGGTTTAGCATAGGAGAAGTTGGTCTCCTCTAGCCTCAAAGTATATAGAGAACTTGCATGAGGAAAGTTTGGCAAATGCCCCGAGAGATTCGGGTTTGAGGACAAATCTAGGACCCTTAAATTTTTGAGTTGAAAAAACCTTTGAGGGAACCACCCTTGAAGATTCATATACGAAAGTTGAAGCTCACTTAGATTGGGAAAATCTGCGAAGAACTCTGGAATCGGACCAACATCATTGGATCCAAGGTTGATCGCAACAAGAGAATGGAGGCTCGAGAGGGAATGATGAATAGGACCATTCAGCCCGCATCCCTCCAAGCTAAGTACCTGAAGATGAGGAACATATTTTGCAAGAGCTTTGCCCCAATCTTCACCGCTGCTAGACATTATCTGCACTCCATCAAGGTAGAGCTCTCTTAGATTGTTGAGGTTCGCTACAAGGATCTCAAAATTGGGCTCCCGAAGATGATTAAAACTGTCACCTGGAGAGGTAGGATCATCATAATCGGAAACTGTGCGACTTGAAAGATCCAAGGAGACAAGGTTAACGAGTTTGCTGATGCCAATAGGTATCTGCCCATACAAGTCCGCATTGGAGAGATTGAGATGGGTTAGCAGAGCGAGCCTCTCAAACTCAGCAGTGGTGATGTTGTAGCTGTAATCACCTAAAGAATTCATGCTAAGATCGAGACGTCGGAGGGATTTGAGGCTGAAGAGCGCAGGGTCCAAGCCATAACTGTTCAGGCCATGCCCACTGAGGTCTAGTACTGTCACAAGACCAGAAGAAGCATCACAGATAATGCCCTCCCAGAGACAGCAATTGGTGCCATTTTGCCATGACGGAAGGAGAGCCGCGGTGGTTGCTGCAGCAAAGAAGGATTGCTTTAGTTGGAGAAGCGCTGCAGCCTGGTCTGGATGGCACCACAGTGTGAGGTTACCATCACTGTGGGCGCTGGAGGTGGCCAGTATGGGGAGTTGTACAAGAAAGAGTAGTAGTGCCCAGTGGATGGAAGCCATTAGCCTAACACGGTTCTGAACCAACAGCAAGTGCCCAGGCATTCAAATAGGCATAAGTATATATAGTGGTACTGCAATAAGCCAACAATCAGTGCAATGATCCAAAATAATTAGTGCGATGACGTATCTTGGAATGGATATTAACTCAAGTTTTAGTCCGGTCTTCCTGAAATCGTTCACTTATTGCATCGGCCAGGGAAAGCTCCAGTCAAGCAGGAGCCTTTACTGCGTGCAAGGCGGGTTGCGCGCAATTGTGACTCTTGCAGATTTTTCCACTAGCTAGACAGGGACCTGAAGTGACCTCACAGCCATATATTTAACTTTTTCTTTAGCCATATATTGTTTCACTGTCAGAGTTGCACTAGATTGGGAGAGAGGACCAACGACCATGACCATCTAGTGTTGCAGGTTAATTGCAGCACCAGCACGCAACTGCAAGTAAAAATATCGTTGATGAATGATAACATTCAATTGATGAAGGAAAGCTCAGACTGGAATTATTTTCCTGTGCCACACAAATTTATTATGTGGAATAGCCACACAATATAGGTACCATCAGATGGTTAACTGCAGAGACTGATAGTTTGACCGCTTCCAAGTCAAGTAGGCACCATCAGATAGTTAACGGTGGCCGAATGGCCTGCTACCAGGTTTGTCCCTGCTAATTGTTATCTTCTGTAACAGCTTTCATTTTCCTAAAAGAAAATAAATTAAGTAGGCAACTATAGACAAGTACCAAGGAGGTGAACAGAAGAATCTGAACTTGCAGCCCATGAATTGAGCCAGGTTTAGTTCATCAGTATATCTCTAGCTAAGCCAATTCATCTTCAAATAGTGGGGAACTGCAGCCTGCATGCCATCATCTGTTTTATTTCTACCGCAGTTTATATTTTAGTGATGGACTTGAAAAACATGGAGAGACAATTAGAGCCAGAAATTTTGTCAGTAACAGCAGCCACTAACCAAATCGTGTAAACCCTCCAAAGTCCAAACCTACTTATCATGCCAACCAAAAACAGTACTGATACCAAACATTATGAGAGGACACGTTTGTAAACCCAAGACTACTCAATTAGTCAAACAACCTCCCAGAATTTTTAGAGGGTGATCCATAGGGCACATATATTAGCACCAAACAAGCCACTATAAGCTCATGGAATCCATATTAATACAGAGGAATAAGCTGTTAGCGCGTTGAAATTCACTTGCTAGATAGTAGTAGTAGCAGACTAGCAGTTTATTCATTTTTTGCAAACATAACAAAATGGGCGACAATACATTTCTAGGGTTACTGATTTGGGGAGAAAACAAGGGCACCAAATTAACCTGCAAGTTCACTACTATGTTGAATAAAAGAATCATCATTATTACTAGAAAAAATTAGTGAACTATCCCATACTAATCGCATCAGCTGATTCCAATATAGTAAAAGCAGCCGGGCAACTGGTCGCTGAACCTAAGCAGGCAAAGCTACTAGAAATTTGGATCCTCCTGCAATGGAACCTGTGGCTAGCGACGGAGAAGGGCGCGCGGATGGGCTGCCTCTAGCAGCCGCTCGTGAAGGAAGCGCTCCATCTCCGGGGAAGAATGGCGCGCGCTAGTGGCTGCCATCGCTGGCGTGTCCGCAGGATTGGAAGGCGAGGTGGCCGTGGTGCTCCGCTAACCGGTGGCGGTGGCGGCCGCCGTGAACAAAATCGGGCGTCGAACCAAACAAGGATTGGACAGTATGGGCCACAGTGGGCTTGGGCTAAGCTGGAGGACAGAACGGATGGATGGCCCAGTCCGGTCATTCATCGTGGCGCACTCGGCCAGTGGGTTAGCCCTCCAAAAAAACTTGGCCAGAGTCTCAGAAAAAAAAAGGCTACTGAGTTCTCAAAAAAATAAAATTGGCTAGTGCCAAGTCATCTAAAAATTGGGACAGGTGGCCTAAAATTTAGGACAAGCATATCGAACGGATGTCTGATTTTTTAGGCATGCCAAATCAAATATTTTTTATGGCAAATCATGTTTGTCGAGGATAACAACTTTAGTTGGAGAGCATGGCTAATCCGCTTCAGTTTATTTATTTCTTTTGTTAGGAAATTGCCATGCTTACAAACTTAAATTTGACATCCTCATGCCAATATAAAGTGCGATGAGAAACGTTTGACTTGGCATGCCTATAAATTTGACGTGAGACTTTTACCCTTTTTGTATATTTATTATGCGTAAGTCAATTTTCTGGGTCCATTAGATTAAAGATCCCTCTTCCTTTAAGCGTTCTTCCTTCACCAACCATTTCATTTAGATATTATGTAAAGAAAAGGAGAAGTCTACGTTTGCATAAACAAATATATCCGTAACCGGCACATGAGTGCCGAGCAATAATGACATGGAGGGCTTTCATGTTCTTTGATGATGTGGAGGCTTGCATGTGGTAGAAAGCGAAAAGTTCAATGATTGCATGAGTTCTTGGTGATGTGGAGGGCATGCATGCGGTGGAAAGTGAAAAATTGATTGATTGAATGCGCTTAATGATGTGAATTATTTGTGTGTGCATTTAAATGAGCGGTGACATGTGTGGGACATATGTGATGACGTGGATAGACTGCATGTGTTAAGATAATTTAGACAGTGAAGCTAAACCTTTTAAATATCGGAATTTGTAATTTCCAAACGTTTGTGATTTGACAATAGATCCGAACGATCTAATTGACGTTCGATCCGAAATTCTAGCGCGCGCCAGTTTCTCGTGAGGTTGATCCGGAATCGAGCCCACAACGCACTGTTGGTGCTGTAGGATCTCAACCACCTCAACAAGCACCTGCTTACATTAAGTTTTATGTTAGTTTCTTCCTTTGTACTCCAGTATATGTGAGTAAAAGAAAGCCACAACAATCAAGGCTATTGCATTGGATTTTTGACGCAATAACCAAGGCACACCAGCTTTAGTCCTTGTCCAATATACCTTAAAAGGCATATCCTCACTAACTCATGTGTGGATAATATGGTAACACACACACTTCGGATCTGATAACTAACTTATATACAAATACGATAGTAACTATGATACTAAGAAAAAAAGTTGTTGAAATATACTCTGGTAACCTCTGCGAAAAATCATGGTAATTTACTCCCGACGAGCATCATAACTTACGTACAAACACCCGTGGTGACCTCAACCCAATGAAAAAAAATTATAGACATACCACCCATAATTTTATGTGTAAATACCATGGTAAGAAATGCACGACATGGCTGGTATATTACGTACAAACACCCTGGTAACTTTGACCAGCGGGAAAATTATTGAAAACAATAGCCGTTAACTTTGGCCCCATAATTTCTATGTAAATAGCATGATAATATATTCATCGCAGACCTGATAACTTAGGCACAAACATCATGATCACTTTAAGTCGAGGAACAAATGTTGTTGAAAACATAACCCCGGTAACTTCTGTGCAAATATCATGGTAATGTATGCACCACAGGCATGGTAACTTTGGTACAAAAAATGTGGTAATTTAACCCATGGAGAGATGTTGAAAACACAGCTCCGGCAATTTATGTGTAAATAATATGGTAATATATGCACCACAAACCTGATAATTTATGTAGAAACACCGCGGTAACTTTTTTAGCCATAGGAAAAAGAATTTGTTGAAAAAACATACTGCCAATAACTTATGTGTAAATAACATGGTAAGCTAGGCACCGCGGAGCTGATAACTTATGTACAGATATTATGCTAACGTTGATCTGAGAAAAAGTTGTTGAAAACATAGCCCGATAAGTTCTATATAAATAACATGGTATTTTACATGCCGCACACCTGATAATTTATAACACCATCGTAACTCTGACCCAATATAACAAAGCTGTTCAAACATCATACCGTAGGGCTGGTAACTTAATGTACTCTCGGGGTTGGTAACTTAAGTTAAGAAAAGAAAAGAAAATCTTGATATGATAGAAAAGAAGGTGCCAATATCTCTACTCCTAATGGACGAGTTGGTACCCTGGTACGGTTTATTTTCGTCCCACTTCCCACCTTCTCAGGTTTTTTTTCGTCCTCCTCCCACCCCGTATGGTTTTTTCAACTCCCCCTATCCCACACAAAAAAAACGGACCAGGAGGCCAGCCCCCTCGCACAATTAGGCTGCCCTCGAAGTTTTCCTACGACGACGTGAACCACCCCAGCCGCCATCGATCCCTTCGCCGCCGCCATCGATCCCTTCTGTCGTCGATCCCGGCCTGGCCGCAGCCGATCTCATGGAGGCCGGCGCAGATCATGCACATAGGTGACAGTGCCGTGTCTCGCCCTCGCCGCACAATCCCACTGACGCCTGCCGCTGCCGATCCGTGGGAGCCTGCCGCACAACCCTACGCACACATCTGCCAGTGAGGGTGCCGCCGATCTCACGAAGGCTGCGCCAGATCAGGTCCGCCTAAATCAGGTTCCCCTAAACCCTAAACCCTTCGTCCATTCAACAAGGCCCGATTTAATTATACAGCACATACATACAATAAGACACTTGAAGGTTTCCGGAATTTTACAGATCCGCCGGCAGCACATACATACAATTTGATGGTTCCGCCGGCAGCACATACATACAAGTTGATGCTTCTCTGAATTATACAAACAACTGATTTACACCTTTTCTTTATAAATGTCCCCAGCTCGACCAGGTTTCAGTTTTTCCTGTAAGCACGTACCAAAGGAAGCTTTACAAAAGGAAGCACGAAAATCAGCAGGTTCAAAGGAAGCACATGCATAAATATTTTACCAGACATATACTAATTATCATCCGGTTTTGTCCTCCTGTACGTTGACATTGAAATTGACCTCTAACCCCTCTTGTTGATCTACATCCCCAACGAAGTATGGGAAATTGTAATAGCAAGGCACTGGAACAGAGAAAGGCATCGGATGTACCTCTACCCCATCTTGTTGATCTACATCCCCAACGAAGTCCAGGTATATCTCTGCCCCATCTTGTTGACCTTTATTCTGATGTAAACACAACATGAGAAATCATTTTACATGCCATATTGAGGGT